CTCTTGGATGCTTGGAACATGACGCCTAACCGGCTGGAGGATTCACAGTCCTTAAGTGTAATAAGTCTTCAGATCACGCGGACAGAAAGACTTCAGTGATGCCTAACACTCTTTGACTCTGGGTGTTTTGGGCTTTGTCCTCGCAAGGATTTCTCTCTCAAATGCTTCGGAGGTGCGTTGCTCTCAAACGATAAAAGTCGTGCACTAACTCTGAGCAGCCACCAATTTATGGTGTAGGAGGTGGGCTATTTATAGCCAGGAGGCAACCCGACCTGATTTGTCCAAAATGACCCCGGGTCACTAAGGAACTGACACGTGTCCAACAGTCAGATTTCAAACACACGCAGCAACTTGACTTGGGCTACAAGTAAAGCTGACTCATCCAGCTCTGACTTTGTTCACTTGGACCACACTAAGGAACTGGCTCTCATTGTCTTCGCTTGAAGACATAGGATTTGGTTGAGCATCACATCAGTCACTCTGATTTTGTTCACTTGGACCCCACTTAACAGTACGGTGGTTCCTATGACTCAACAAAGAAGAAAAGGAAACTACGAAACAACTATGTCTTCGCACTCCATAGTCTTCATGCGATGTCTTGTCATGTCATAGTCTTCAATGTGAATATCTTCACAGACCACCATTGTCTTCAATGTCTTCACACATTTTATGGATCATTTCTGGCAGGTAAACCGAATCAATATGGGACTACTACCTATGTTAGCCTGCAATTCTCACAAACACGTTAGTCCCTCAACCAAGTTTGTCGTCAATACTCCAAAACCAACTAGGGGTGGCACTAGATGCACTTACAAGATCAGTGGTCTAGCCCTGCTTGATTGGACGTACGTATCTGAAAGAGTTATAAAGAAAGAGGAAGGAAGGAATGTATCCCCAGGAAATGACCGTCTTTTGGCTGTGGCATTTCGTCCAACAGCCTATGTGCGTATAGACACGGAAGGATGCAGGAGCCAAACAGATGTTCCCTTTAAGCATACATTTCCACAATTTGCTAGAATTTGTGTCGTGAGCAATATATACCAACCATGCACTGGCGGAGCTAGAATCGAAGTCCTGGGCGGGCCAAGCTAAAGGCTGCCAAAATTTTCTTCCAAACATTGCCTAGATTTACCCTTAGGCCTACTCTTTCTGTAGCAAAGCTAGGCGGGCCATGGCCTGGTTTGCTTGCACGTAGCTCCACCACTGCAACAATGCGGTTCATCTCTTATCTATACTTGCTGCTTTCCCGTGCATGAAGAAGAAATAAACTGAGATATGAACTTCATACTTGACACGACCTATTACTTATAAACTTCATACATGTAGGGCATTTTTGCTACATTTCTCTATTGCCAAGTGTCGTGGTATCATTAATAAACTTTTTTAACTGAAACAAGTTTCATCCACCTATTATTTGTGCCTTTGGTTTGAAATCAGAATTTGGGTGTCGTCACCCACTACACTACTAGCGTTAACAAGGTAGTCTGTACTCTGTATTAGGTTACCATAAAGAGTTTCCCATCGCTTTATATTATAAAGCATCCAACCGATACATCCAACTCGCTGGGGCCGCAGCACAAACAAGTTCAAAAAGAAAAACAAGAGAAAGAAAAGAGAAACAATGCCGACACCGGCAGATCAACTAAGCGACAAAGACCGGCAACCGCTGCACCCTCCGGAGAAGTACCACTGTGTTCCTAGCATTCCGGAGCGTCGCGTACCAAGCAACACCTTCAAGAAGGAATGCGACGGCGCCGTCGTTGCTGCCTGAACGAGTCCCAGGGTTCCCCCCGTACGCGGAGGGCAGTGGGGAAGGGGTATACTCAACGCCCTTCAGAAAGATCCAGCGGCGCCCGCAGGCATTACCGCGTCGGAGCCGTACGAGCCGCCAGGGATTTCTCCCGACCCAGACAACCACCTCCACCCCGGACCCTCCGAAATGCACCACTCAATCTGCCGCCCACCAGCCTGTGCCACCATGGTCACCAAACCAACATCGCCGTCTCACTTGGGCCGCCAACACGAGACCTGGGGGAGGGAAAGGAGACAACGGCCACGAGGGCAACCGCAACTCGACCGGCGGGAGGGGACAACCTCCATCGCTCTCACAGAGCCGACCGGACACGGCAACAAGGACTTGATAGGCCCCAACGGCCCAGCCGGACCCACATGGGTCCGGACAGTCCCTATCCCCACGCTGCAGCACGCCGGCTAACGAAGCCAGCACCGCCCGTAGACCACCGACACCTCGCCACCACCAGGGAGCAACGCCGCCGGCCCGCACCAGCGCAGATCAGGCCCTAAAGGGCCCAGATCTAGGTCGAGCGGGCACCACCAGTCGCCCGCGCCACCGCGCCGCCGCGCCAAGGGCACCCGTGGCCCACGGGGTCGCCGTCGCCGAGCCACACCGCTGTCGGCCAAGCAGCACCGCCGCCGTCAGGGGGCCCGGCGCCCCCCAACGCGCGCACGGGAAAGGAACGGTCTGCCTCCGCCAGAGGAGGGAGAGGGTGGCGGGACCGCCTGAGGCACGCGCGTCGGCGGCCAGCGGCAGCAGGAGGAGGCTAGGGCGGAGGCGGCGGCGGGGGGAACCCTATGCAAGTGGAACAAGAAGCATGATGAAAAATAGTTGTCAGGAACTTGGCAAGCTTCTATTTTGTGTAAAATGGGAATGTTGGCATTGGATGTCATGATATGTGCTACTCTACAGCCCTCTTATTGCTATGTCTGGATAGCTAGAAAAAGGCACACCGGCACACAGTACAACAAACCGTTATATCCAAATTCTCTTTATCTGTTCCACATCCAAAAAGCTATGAACCGGGCATCTAGACTTGCTCAACACCCAAACAACTATTGTTGGGGATTAAGGAAAAGGGTCTGTCTATGCCCTAAGCATTGCATATCTAAATGACTCAATCAAACATGAAAAAGAACTTATTAAAAAAAACATGAAAAAGGAAAAGAAAAAAGAACAAGAAAAATACCCACACGGATTTTCATGTAAAATAAATAACATAGGACTTAGAGAAAGGATTCTAAAAGAAAGTACACGAATACTCCAAAGTCAAAAAATATTTCAAAACCAAAAATATTAATTAAAAACAAGTCGCAACTCCTGCCCAAAATGCCGCCGGCACTGATAAAAATCAAAAGAAAAACAAACAAACAATGCGTTCATCGATGTTTGTCAAAGCTATATGCCGTCGGGCGCAGTGAAGTGTGCCTACCGTTCCAGTTCATTAAAAATCAAGTTGTCAGCAGATATGTAGAGAATACGTTTGAACGTGTCGACATATTTTTTTTATTTTATTAATTTTGTGCTTGAGGCACCACTGACTCTGTGTTTTTGAATGTCTTATTGGTTTCCATGTGTGTAGACCTTGTATTATTTAGTTTTATTGGTATATAAGGTTACCGCTAAAAATAAGATAATTTTTTCATTAGTGAAGAGGTTTGATTAAATTCTGGAAAATAGAGAAGTGTTTTTTTCCTGAGAAAAGGCCATCATGACTAGCTTTATTAAATTAAAAAACGCTTGCATCGTTTGCAAATACAAGTAAGCAACTAGGAGGTTTATCACCCCAAACACAAGAAAGATTATTATGAAAACTAAAGCTAGCTAGCTCATGGGCCACACGGTTGGCATCTCTAGGACAAGTGAAATCAACAGTTCTCATTTGAATTGACGTATCTACACAATCTGCATATATCGCTGCTGCCGAGTCCCACCATTGTATTTGACCTTTGCAAAAATTTATGACTTCAATCGAATCAGAATCCGCCTGCCTTATTAGTTCAAAGAGAATTTGCAAAATGTAGTCCATCCCTCATCGCTAAACCATTGTTGCTACATTTGCTGCATATGGGTAGTAGACGCACTTGCACGCAATGAATAATTCAGAGAGAAAGAGTTTTGATAAGAGAGATGCCTAATTGTAGAATGCCCACTGATCAGACCGAACCGGCTGTGTACCTGAGCGCGAGGAACCGAATGCCCGGCCCAAGGCAAGCCCCGACCGAGCCGAACCCAACGGCCCTAGAAAGTCGGGCCGGTTAATAGGAAGGACAAGCGGGGACTGAACAAACTCAATCGAACCGAAGCTGAAACCTACGGGATCGCAATAAAGCGGAGCAGAGAGAGGGGAAGCAGGGAGCTGATACACCCGAAATCCTCTCAGCCGACCTCCCATGGGGAGCGACGCCGGAACCTAGTTTAGCTCAGCCGCCGACCCAACCTCACCGCAACCCGCTGCCGAGCTGAGGACCCCAGGCCGCCGATCTCATGGAGATCGTAGCCAAAGCTGCCGCGACCCAACCCTCTGCTCCTCACGGCTCTTCCGCCAGCATCGCGACAGGTCGCTTTCGCTTTTCTCGTTCCTTCCATAATAATAAAGGTGTATTTGGCTTCTGTCATGGATTGGAATGTCACGGGTCGGACCTGTTCCTGGACCTGATTCTCGTGTTTGGTATGCGCATGGGACGTGATCCGCTCGTTTCCCTGGACCGAATATTCGGCCCAGATCCGGAACGAGGTGAGACCTCGAATTCCAGCGGACGACGCGGAACCGTCTCCCCCTCGTCTCTCTCTCGCAACCCCATCCCCTCTCGCCCTCTCCTCTCTGGTGCGCCGCCTCCCCTCGTCCCTCTCCTCCCTCGATTCGCGCCACCGGCAGTTCCTCTCCCCCATCTGCACCGGTGAGTGTCCTTCCCCCACCCCACCCTCTTCCTCGTCTTCTCCTCAATCAGCTGCAGGGCGGCGGACGAGCGGCTGCGAGGCGACGGTCTTGAAGCTGGGCGGCGAGCCAGCGCTACTTCGGCGCGAGGATTGGAAGCCAGCCAACGGCAGCCACACCTGAGCGGCGGCAGCATCAGCTTGCCTGGGCAGCGGCAGCGGCCAGAGAGGAAAGGAGCAGATGGCGTTCAGTATTGATGGATGCGTTCAGTATCTTTGCTTGAACTGAACGCAAAATTAACTAAGATGCGTTCATGCCAAACTCAACATGTTCCTGATGCTTGCAGTGAGATTTTTTTTTGTTCATGCCTGTAGATTTTTGCCGGATGCGTTCATGCTAAACTCAAGATGGCAAACTCTTCATGTGAATAGAAAACAGTGAGAATTTTTTTCCTGTATGAACCGTAGATCCTTTTGAGATTATATCAATTGATGATGCTGCAAAAGTGCAAATACAAATGAAATGGCCGCTGAAAATTTGAATAATTTGATGCTAAAAATGTGTGCATGTTTGTCAATGCTTTTCCTCCTTGATTGAGTCAATTTTGTCTTTTGACCAATTTTTTACATGTACTTGACAGAAATTGATAAAATGTAAAGAGATATAATTGTGACCATGTATATACGTATGTGAAACTCCCACCATTTCTATGCAAAGATTTGAGATAAACCAAATGCATTATGTGGAAAAACTCATTTCGTGCTATCCCAACCAAACGCTGAGATGGAACCATTCCATTCCTCCTAATTCCCTTAATCAAACACCGGAACGGAACCAACCCGTTTCGGTGGAATGGAACCATGACATTACATTCTACTTCGTTCCCGAACCAAACACACCCTAAGGGTATATGGATTGGGATGTGGGGATTTGTTCTGTGCTGGAAGATCATTTACTTTCCCTTCCTTGTTTAGATTCAAATAAAAGTCCTTGTATTGCTATCCCAATCGTTGTATTCGTTTCATAAATATTTCTTGTCCCAGCGATTTGTTCTTGGTCATCATTGTTTGTGCTTGTTGCGGCGCGCTCTCGCTTCGTGGCATCTCGTGTAGCACGTTTAGACGTGTGTGTGCACACGTGTTTGTAAGTGTTACTTGTGTGTTGCCTTCTCTTTATGTCTGCCATGTAATGTTCCGGGATGTAATTTCTGGGTTAGCTCTGTTGAGCCAACCATGCTTGTAATATAATCAGGGACGCAAGTTTGCCAAAAAAAAGTTAGCTTGGTGACTGACCTTTTTTTTTTTGGAGAAAAGGTTGTTTGCTACTAGTTTCCTGCTAGTTTCTTAGCCTGGGAAACAAAGTGTTTGGTTTGGGTTCCTGGACGTTGGTTACTGCTCTTGTGTACGCTGCCTTTGTTGTGGGCTTTATTAATTTAAAGCCGGACGCCCCTGGCGTCTCTGTTCAAAGAAAAAACAAAGTGTCTCCATTACATCAGCGAGAGGGGAAAATCTTCTCCCTTTGTCATGCATCTGTCTTATTTCCTTTGAACATAGGCATGTTTTTTATCCTCTGGTATCATGTAAATTTGGAAGATGACAAGATAACCAACTTGTGTTGACCTCTTTCTCTGCCTTTTATGTATGACTTTGTGTGTTGTAACTTATCGTACAGAAGAAAATATACGACTTTTCAATTGTGCTAGTTAATAAATTAAGACGGTGTTTTAGAAGCTTCACATTTGCTAACTAATGCTTACATGATTCCCGTGATATCTGCCGGACAACAACGAAGCCAGAAAACCAAACCAAGATCTTCATGCAAGTTCAAGCCTCTTTGTTGGATGCAAAAATTTATTTGTAACGGCGAGTCGGTAATTTTTTAATTTCCATATCGTGCTTAATAAGCTATGAACCTTCGAAGATCTTTGTTTTTGATGAGCACAAGTTTCAGCCTTTAATAGCCATTCAAAGATCTTATCACTATTATTATCCGCATTTTAGATTATTATATTTGACCTATTTGAATGTGTGAATATGAAGATGATGCTGTCTAGATCTTTTTTATCTTGATCATTGAAAAAATGCACTGTTGTTTGGGGGCTGATTTTATTTTTAGATTGTAAATGTGTTGATTGTACATGTTGAGATATGCAGATAGCAGCCAAACAGTATATGGCATCCATTTCACAAATCTCCTCTGGTAACCAAACAAGAAAATTGAACTTGGAATCCAAATCCCACAAAATGAAATCCTCCTAAGAATGAGATTTCATTTTATTTCTACCAAATGAAATGAAAGCTTGGGTGCCAAACGAGCTGTAAAGGAAATTGCCATTCTCGCGACAACATAATTTGGAAAAAAAAACGTTTAAAAATTATGACGTCAGATTTTTAGCATTTCCGTTAAAATTTTGCTAGTTATATGTATATATGTCTTTTTTTTCTGTGGGTATATGCATGTATGTATGTTATTCTAGTATGCAACACATCACATAACATGATTGTTGTTTTCATATTTTCAATGTGTGGCAGGTATCCAGCAATGGCGACCTCCTCTCTTGCTCCGCCTGAGGTGCCCATGGAGCTGCATGCAGGCAACCGTGACCGCCTCTTAACCGCACTGCACGCCCACCTCTCCGCCGCCGCTAGCCCTCCCCGCGGCCTTGCCCTCCTCCAGGTCCCACTTGCCGTCTTTATAGTGAATCAGTCTCTACTTTGTTTGGGCCTTTGGGGCTTCCTCTATCAACATTTTGGCTTCTCTTTCTGAAGGGCGGTGAGGAGCAGACACGACACTGCACTGATCATCTCGAGCTGTTTAGGTATATGTTTTTTTTCTAATATTTGCCAGCGCCCCTCCTTTCTCTTTCTTTGGGATGACATATTGAGGTGGTAATGGGCAATGTCTCAGGCAGGAGAGCTACTTTGCTTATCTCTTCGGAGTGCGTGAGCCAGGGTTCTACGGCGCTATAGTACGTTCTTCTCTCGTGTGGCCCACTTTTGCAGGGAAAATAAAATCCTTGCATAGTTCCTGTTGAGCTCCTTGATACCTAGTTCGATGCTTATTGTGGATATTCACTACGCCTCATCTTTATCCAGTTATTAAACTTATAACACAGTTTATGTCACAATTTCTTGAATTTGTACAACTTATTTGTCTGTGAGAATAAACCACTGCAAGTCATTCGATGCATGGTTATGATAATGAATTTATGCTCATTAGATGCTTCTACCTAACTTGGCCTTTATTTGTTCACCAAGGACATTGCCTCTGGACAATCGATTTTGTTTGCTCCAAGGTTGCCACCTGACTATGCTGTCTGGATGGGTGAAATAAAACCACTCCCTTATTTTAAGGTATTTGATGTTCTAAATGCTATATTCGCAGATACTGCAACACTCTGAATTCACATAATATTTTTCATCAATACCTCTACAGGATAGGTACAAGGTCGATTTGGTCTTCTATGTCGATGAGATTGTGCAGGTTCTGCAAGATCGATTCAGTCAGCATGGGAAGCCTGTGTTGTTTCTCTTGTATGGAAAGAGTACTGACAGCGGAAATTACTCAAAGCCTGCTAGTTTTGAAGTACGTGATATACAACTAGCCATAAAACAAGTTAGGATGCTTAGTTAGTTAGTTTTATGGTTTTGAAGGGTTAAAGTGGAAAGCATAATCTGGCATGTTAATCATGCAGTACTATTCTTTCTCCTTTAGACCTCAACTACATGTCTTTGTTGTATATGCATTGAATTTACCAACTTACCATGCTGTTTTCCCCTGTGTTAGGGGATAGAGAAGTTTGACACCGATTTGAGTACACTCCACCCTATCTTAACTGAATGCCGTGTTATCAAATCTGGAATGGAGCTTGCCCTCATTCAATATGCCAATGATGTTAGCTCAGAAGCACACATTGAGGTACAAAAGTTACCCTATTAAAGTCTTGTACCATGCCAATAATTTGTTTACACCTTCATTGCTATTTTTTGGAGTACATTAGACTCTTGTCCAGTTTAAATAAGGGTTCCTCAGGTTTTGGCTCTTTTGCATTTGACGAAATGTGATCTATATCTCCCC